GGTGCTGGAGATTAAAGCCAGGATATGCTAAGCATACCTACATCCCCAGCCCTGTGAAATTTGAATATTTTTGATATCCACTTTTAAAAAATGTGGAAAAAACCCAGGCAAAATTGGTTTTAATAATAATTTTTTTGGGTCAGTGTATCCACCATATTATAATTTCAGCATGTAAATCATAAAAGATATTTTCTATTTTTGATTTAAACCTTAGAAATCCAATGTGTATTTTATACTTCAAGCACATCTCAGTTAGGATTAGCTGTATTTCACATGCTTGGTAGCCAAATGTGACTAATGAGTCCTGAGTTGAACAGCACAGTTTTAGAAACTCAAATCAGATTCAGCCCCACCCCCTATCTCCCATGATATGGTTGTCCCTTTTTGGTGGTTCTGGTAGTGAATGGCTATCCACTATCATTTATTTGATGTATTAATTTGTTAGAACTTGGAAAGCAATTATATTTTATCTGAAGAGATATTTCTTGTCCTCAAATATTTCCTTATCTGAAAGAATAGTTCTATATATAGAAAAGAAAAAGGATAAATAATGCTGATCTTTTTCCTTTATGTACATTTTCTGAATAATGCATTTGTTTTCTACCATTATCCAAAAATAAAGGTTGAATATTGTTTTTCAAGTATACTTGTGAACTCACACGTTTAAAAGTTGCTCAGATTGTCTTTATCTTTAGCCAGTGGAACCTTTGTTAAGGTGGCTTCTGAGTCTCTTTTATAAGGCCTTCATAATTTTTGATAGCTTTCTTGCATCCTAGTATATTAGCTAGTGTTTTTTTTTTTAAAGAGAGAGAATATTTATTTTTTTAGTTTTTGGTGGACACAACATCTTTATTTTATTTTTATGTGGTGCTGAGGATTGAACCCAGCACCCCGTGCATGCCAGGTGAGCGTGCTACCACTTGAGCCACATCCCCAGACCCTTAGCTAGTGTTCTTTAGAGAAACAGAAACAGTAGGTTTTTCAGGGTGGGGGAAGGAGGATCTACTTAGAACAGTGAAGATTTACTACAAGGAATTGGCTCATATGATTATGGAGGCTGACAAGTCCCAAGACATGGCAGTCAACAGTCTGGAGAGCCAGTATGACCAATGTGTAACTTTAGCCTGTGTCCAGAGTCCTGAGAAATAGGGTAGCCCATGATGTAGTTTTAGTCCAAGTTTTAGTTCAAAGTTGACTTAAGCTTGACCCAGGAAGAGCCAGTATTTTATATTGAAGGTGAAGACAGGAAAAATATGTATCTAGTAAAGTAAGTATATGTTTTTAATTTAACTGTGAGTGTATTATAATAACTTAGATTTAATTATAGGTATAATTAAATCTGTCCTCATTATTTTAAAGAAGATGAGGTTGAAGCACAGATTTGGTTAGTAGGAAGGTTAGGACTAGAACCCAGATTGCTTAGCTCTTAGATGTGTGAAGTAGTGGGAGAACCCCCCAGTTCAGAGTCAGACCAACATGACTTGAATCTTGGCTTTGCTGTTTATTAGCTGTATGATCTTGACTAAACTTGAATTTTCTGTTTATTTGTAAACTAGAGATGATAATAAGACTATGTCATAAGTTTTCTGTTAACCAAGATTATATATATTACATACATATATGCACACATTACATACACATATACACATTTCTTTAAAAATATGAGTTAAAAAAATTTTGTTTTGGTGGTGCTGTGAATCAAATTTAGGACTTTGTATGTACATACTAAGCTTATACTCTAATACTAAGTTGCAACCCCAGTCTAAAAACATTTTAAAGAACCTAGTGATGTGCCTGACCTGTTGTATAGGTACACTATAAATGCTGGGTTTTCCTGTCCTCCCACTTTGCAGTGTTTTCCTGCCATATTGTTGCCACCTTTTAAAACTGAACATCAGGTATATCAATAGTAGCTAGAAATAGTATGTTTTTGTGTTATTTGCTACCTTGTTCATAGTATTTGCTTAGCAAACTTTTTATTTAACAGAATTAAAAAATTGGTTCTTTTTTCTGAGTTTTCCTGGAAGTTTTATGATGCTTAAATTGAGATTTTACTTTTCCTTCTGAAGTGCTTTATTCAAAATGATGTTGTTATTCCAGTATATTTTAATTACTGAACATTGATGACATTTCATATTACATTTTGTGTGATCATGTTCATTCTTGTATTCTGCTAAAGTTAATAGGATAGTTTAAGAAGGCCATAATTAGTAGAAGTTTAAAAGTTGCTTTGATGTCCTTAGATGAAAGCTGTGCTGGCAACACCAAATGCTAGCATTTTAAATTACATTCTCCTTTTTGACATGAAGTATTGGCTTGAGTTCTATAGAGCTAGCTTTAGGATTATTAGTCTGAACTATATATTTAAAGTGAGTATGAAGAGAAGAATCTTTTAAGAGTGTCTATCTTTAAAAAGAAAAGCACTTTCAGATTCAGGTTATTTGCCATCTATTTGGATACAGTTCTGGACACATTATATATTGGAATATTGACTTTCCCGAGACATTAATAGATGACTTTCTTTGTTGTGAGATATAAAATGTGATTGCTAGTGCCTAAGGTTCACAAGATTAATGAATTATATTTGAGTAATGGGAGTAACTTTACATTGGGAGATGTAGACATTAAGAAAAAGGAGGCCGTTTTAACTGTCTTCAGTTTCTTCTTGAAGTTAGTTTTGAGTTGCCTCCTTCATTTTTTCCCCTCTTTTTTGTCTGTAACTACTTGTAAACTCAGCTTTTACCCCCATCCACCAAAAAGTGGTTGCTGTAAGTTACTAATTCCTCATAATTACCAACTCTATTCATTGACATTTTCTCTGTTCCCATTGTTCTGATTCACTTCAGGGCATCAGATTCTTGAGGATCTCATCTCTTTGCTGTCCTTGCACTGTGTTTTCCCTTGGATTTGGAGCTCTTTTTCCTCCCTTACTGACTTATCTTCTTACTTCTGTGATCACATTCATACCTTAAGACTGGTTTAGCATTTGTGCTTGCCATTATCAAGTCTATCTTCCTTCAGATGACTCTTACCCATTTTTTTTTCCACCTTAACTGCTGTGTCTCCAACTTAAAACAGACTTCATGGTCTTTCTTAATTTTGTCATTGTCCCCTATTGTATTGTCTTATTTATTAATTTTTGATTTAGTTAGAGATAGGGTCTAGCTGTGTTACCCCTACTTGTCTCCTGGGCTTAAGCAATCCTCCAAAGTAGCTGATGCTACAGTTGTTTGGCAAGTAATCCTTGGTTTTTGTTATCATTGACTCTTTTTAAAAAACTTTTAGTTGTAGATGAACACAGTATCTTTATTTATATTTATGTGGTGCCCAGTGCCTCACATATGCTAGGCAAGTGCTCTGGCACTGAACCACAACCCCAGCCCTTATCATTGACTCCTTTACTCATCTCCTTTCTGTTTAAGCTTTGCTTAACAGTTTTGAGAAATTTTGGCTTATAGGATTAACACTGGGTGAATATTAATTTATTAATTTAGTTAATTTACAGAATTCGCCTAAGGGCAGAGGGATTTGAGAGGTGATTCTTATTTTTTAAATAGATGCTTTGTGGTAGCTGTGGTTTAAAAGAAGTTGCCAGTGGCATTGTCTAAGACCTCTTAGAGGTGCTAAGCCTAAGCTTGACTGAGGTTCTCAAACTTTTTTGGAATAATTTCCTGGGAATTGGGGAAGTACTTTTTCTATCTGGGTAGCATTTACATTAACAGTTTTTGCTTCTGAGTCGAGCAGTTCAGTGAAAATAGTGCAAAGAGACATGGACATGGTTTGGCAGAGTGGATAAGCACATACAACTCAAATTCTATGTTTAACTGTGTCCATTAGCTTCCAACTTAGTTTCCCAACTTATTTTTCCCCCCCTAAATTGTCAATCTTGGAACTCCTTGGAAAACCTTTTATTGTGATGGCTGTTTTAGCTGTTTTTTTTTTCTTTTTTTTTTTCTTCTTATATAACCTACCTCTCTCTCAGTCCACATTAGACATGTTTCTGGGCAAGTTATAGGAGAAGAATTTGCTGAGATTCCTTTTGTCTTTAGTGTATGTTTGCTCAATCAGAAATATAGTTCTGTAGATGGATGAGATGGTATATGCAGTGCCAAGGCTTTGTGAAAGACAAGACACAAGCCTCAAACAAGTCACAGCAAATGCATACAAACATGAATAGCATTACACTATAGTTAATTACTTAAAAGGGCAGTTTGACTTAAAAAGGCTGAAGAAGTCAGAGTAGAGAGTAACTCAATTAAAAAAAAAAAAAAAGATTGAAGGGCTGGAGATACAGCTCAGTTGGTAGAGTGCCTGTCTCACATGCACAAAGCCCCGGCCGGGTTCAGTCCCCAGCACCACAAACAAATAAACAAAACCCCAGAAAACTCCAGTTTGTTCATTGGAGAAGAATTATAAGGGAAAATATTAGTAAGAAGTGGAGTGCCTTGACTCTTTTCAGGATCATTCTTTTGTAGAATCTTTCCTTGTTCTTCGATTTGTTTTAGCAGAAATTTGGTGAGGATTTAGGAAAGTGAAGTAGAAGGAGGAAATCCATTTTTGCTACTAGAGGGAAACTTGTCAGATTGGTCATATATATTATTTACTGTAATGCATATTTTATTGGTCGAATAGCATTTTTTAGCTAGATTATTAATATAGGTGTTGTCTGGTTACTGTCTTAACAATGGTTTGTTATTTACTGTAGCATTTTTAGGAAAATTATTGGGTTTTTTTGGTTATACATGACAGTAGAATCCATTTTGATATAGTTATACAAGCATGTAATATATCTTATTATAATTAGGACCCCCATCTTGTAGATGTACAAGATGGTAGGATTCACTGTGGCGTACGGTGTATTCACACATATACATAGTATATAATTATGTTAGATTCATTCCACTGTCTTTTTTTTTTGAAGAGAGAGAGAGAGAGAGAGAGAGAGAAGTTTTTTAATATTTATTTTTTAGTATTCGCCGGACATAACATCTTTGTTTGTATGTGGTGCTGAGGATCGAACCCGGGCCGCACGCATGCCAGGTGAGCGCGCTACCGCTTGAGCCACATCTCTAGCCCCATTCCACTGTTTGTTCCTATTCCCTGTCTCATCCCTTTATTCCCCATTGTCTAATCTACTAACTTTCTATTCCCCTCCCCCTATTGTGTATTAGCTTCCACATATCAGCAAAAATATTTGCTGAGAATCTTTGCTACCTGCTCCTCAGATGGGTATTAATAAAGAACTCAAAAGCCGTAACACCAAAAAAACCAAAAAACAACAACTCCCAAATAACCCAATTAATAAATGGGCAAAGGAACTTTACAGACACTTCTCAAAAGAAGAAATATGAATGGTCAACAAATATGTGAGAAATGTCCAACATCTTTAGCAACTAGAGAAATGCGAATTAAAACTACTCTTAAGATTTCATCTCACTGCAGTCCGAATGGCAGTTATTAAGAATTCAAGTGTCAGTTGGTGAGGATGTGGGGTAAAAAAGGATACTCATTCATTGCTGGTGGGACTACTTATTGGTGAAAGCAGTCTAGAGATTCCTAAAAAAACTAGGAATTGGAACCACCATTTGACCCACTTATCCCAATCCTCGGAATATATCCAAAGGATTTAAAATTAGCATACTACAGTGATGCAGCCACATCAATGTTTATAGCAGCTCAATTCACAATAGCTAAGCTATGGAGCCAAACTAGATGCCCTTCAACAGATGAATGGATAAAGAAAATGTGGTATATATACACAGTGAAGTATTGTTCAGCCATTAAGAAGAATGACTTTATGACATTTTCCAATAAATGGATGGATCTTCAGACTATCATGCTAAGTAAAATATGCCAGTCCACCAGAGCCACAGATCAAAGGTTTTCATGATATGTGGAAACCTTTTTTCTTTATGGGATACTAGGAATTGAACTCAGGGGTCACTCTACCACTGAGCTTCATCCCCATCCCTTTTTATTTCTAGTTTGAGACAGAATCTGGCTAAGCTGCTGGCCTCAAACTTGTGATCCTCCTGTCTCAGCCTGCCATGTTGCTGGGATTACAGATGTGTGCCATTGTGCTGCGCAACCCCAGCCCTGCTTTCTTTTCTTCATCATGCTTTTTCCTTCCTCAATTAAAAGGTCCTCCATAAAGGTATCTAAAATTTTACCTCATTGCTTTCCATTTGCCTAATATTCTACTTTATGAATTCACAATAATTTAATTACCTAGTGTATTTTTTATTTCACATCTTTTGTTCTGTTAGTTTATACATGTCAGTAGTTAACAACCTCTTACCCCATTTCACTTGGTATAGTCTGCTGGGCCTTATCCACTTCTTTTTTTTTTTTCCTAAATCAAATTCTGTGAGTGGAAACCCTTAAAAAAGGAAATATGTACTACACAGAATAGAGTAAGGATGTCTATACATTTGTGGTGGAAATATATAAAAACGAAAATTATTTTTTCCTTTTATTTTATTTTATTTTAAAAAATTTTTCTTTTAAGCAATTGCATGAGAAGTGTTACTTTGTGTGGGAAGGGTTATCCTAGTCCTGATTCTTTCCAGTGAGGCAGACTTCTTCCCCCCTCCCCGGCATGGACTATATTTTAGGATTTGGTACCAAATTATCCAGATTCACTAGTACCACCTGGCTCATTGTAACCCAAAGAAACAGAGAAGAAATAAATGTACTAGCTAAAACTGGAAAAAAATGATTCCTGTTTAGATATGCATTAGGAAGTATTGTAGACCTAACTTGAAGCATTTCTGTCATTTTTGTCCATGATTTTGTATGGTCCAGATTCATGCCATCCTCTATCAGCTTGTTAAAAATTCCTGAACCCTTTGACAGAGATTAAATAGGGCATCTTTTTTGAACCCCCCCTTTAAATTGCCAGATAGGTACATGGAGGAGGTTGGGGAGTTTTGAAATAAATATGGATGTTGTCAGTCTATAACATCCTCATGAATTTTTAGACTAAAACAAGATTTAAAAAATGATTTTGAGTTTGAGGAATACTTAGTTTTAAAGAATGTTTATTTTCCTCTGTGTTCAGGTTTTTTTTTTTTGACAGATTGATAGAAGTGAGAGTCTAAAAACCCTATGAAAGTAAGCTTATGTAAATCTTAAGAAACATTGGAGGTCACTATGGCTTCAAAGTAGTTTAGAATTATGATTCATGTGCTTATTGCCAATTAATGGATAAAGTGATTTATTACAGTAAAAAATCTCAGTCACAAACCTTCTAGAAGTCTGTTAGCTGTATTCATTATAGCATGTACAAATATATTTCTTTTTGGCAGTGGGCTTCACATTTGAATGTTTATCTGAATCACCTGGAGAGCTTGTTAAAAATTCCTGGTGCATCCCCAGAGATGATGATGACATAGCCTTGTGGTAAGACCTAGGGATCTCTCTTAAGTAAACACAGCAAGTGATTCTGACCTGTAGACTACCTCTTGACTATTATGGGGGTAAAAATTATGATTTCTAAAAGGATGAAAAATTATACCCCATTAGTTAAAAAGATTTAATGGCAGGCGCATTTAAAGATCCTTAGCATTGTGGATAATTTAAAACAGCAGCACAACATACTTTGTGTCTTCTATAAGACTGATAGTTGCTCTGTAAATATTAATAAGTGTTAACTTGTGGCTGCAAGAAGACTCGGTAATTATGTTGCTGTTGCATGGACCATCTACTTTTCTCTAAGGAGAAAATAAATCTTAGAGCCAAAATACCTTTTTCTTAAAAATTATAATTGCTTTGAATATTTATTTTGGAATGCCAACTATTATTGGGAAGTAGGACATTAGATTTTAATTTTCATCAAATGAGGGAATTGGATAAGTGAATTAAACCTTTAAAATATTACTTTGAGGAGAGTAGTAAGATTCATGGTAAAGTAGGCTTTGTGATACATGTTACATGAATATGAATGGAAACAATTTTGGGTAACATTTAAAAAACATTTTAGTTGTTGATGGATGTTTTATTTTATATATTATATGCAGTGCTGAGAATCAAACTCAGTGACTTATACAAGCACTCCACTGCTGAGCCACAACCCCAACACCTTGGATAACCTTTTGAATGTATCAAAATCTTTTAAAGAATAATTCTGCCAGGTGCACAGTACACGCCAGTAATTGGTAAACACCAGTAATTCCAGTTCCTCAGGAGGCAGAGGCAGGAAGAGTCTTAGTTTGAAACCAGCCTCAGCAACTTAGGAAACCCTGTCATAAAATTAAAAAGAAAGAAAAAAAGAAGAATGGGGATGTGTTTTAGTAGTAGAGCACCCCTGGATTCCACCCAAGTAATCCCATACCCCCCATACAGATTTACATAGTAATTTTCTGAGAATCTTAAAAAATAATTTTTATATTTGGAAAAACCTTTATAAACAGATGCATAATATAGAATTGTCTATAACAACATGGAAAATTGAAAGCCTAAATATATTTTACATTAATGTTTAAGAAAACACTGATCCATTCACATAATGAAATATTATTTAGTCATAAAATGTCTTTGAAGAGTTTACAATGTAGGAAAATGTTTATGTTATGCTATAGGTATAAAAATAGGCATAGAATTGTATATCCCTTTAAATACTAGAAGGAAATTTAGAAGATATTAATTTTGATGATTTTTGTAAATATGTGATAATGGTCTTCCCTTTTTCATTCTGCATTTCCCAAGTTTTATATACAGAAGATGCTTTTTCAAAAATGAAAAATCTAGCAAATAAAGCCGGGTGTGGTGGCACATGCCTGTAATCCCAGAGGCTAGGGAGGCTGAGACAGAAGGGTCGGGAGTTCAAAGTCAGCCTCAGCAAAAGTGAGTGCTAAGCAACTCAGTGAGACCCTGTCTCTGAATAAAATACAAAATAGGGCTGGGGATGTGGCTCAGTGGCATAGTGCCCCTGAGTTCAATCCCCAGTACCCCCTAAAAAAGAAAAAAGCAAATAAAAATCAATGCTTGGATTTTAAAAATACTTTAGATATGATAACTTTAGGAGTTAACAAGGGATTTGTAGGGACATTGTTTGATAGGGAAAGGAAATTGTATATATAGAGAATTCAAATTAGCGGAGTCTCACATGGATCTGGCTAACTCAATTTTTGGATTATAGTTTTATAAACGATCTGCTCCAAATTTGCCACCCTTTTAGGTGTGATGACAATAGAATTGGTATTTGAGAGACTGAGTAAGCAGAAAAGTGAAGACTTGCAATTGGGGAAATCTAAGAGTTGGTTGGCACACACTGAAGCCTCTTCCCTGGGATAATTAATTATTCTGTGTGATTGTATTCTGAACTATAGAATTATAGCGTGAGGTTGAAGCAGGAGAATCTCGAGTTCAAAGTCAGTCTCAGCAATTTAGCAGAGGTCCTAAGCAACTCATTGGGTTCCTATCTCTGTGCTTAATGAATTTTAGTTGGTCTGCCTTACAATGAAAATAATGGTAAAAATACAATGAAAATATTTAAAGAAATGAATGGATAAGGAATCCAAGATATTTTGATTTAGCCAACCTTTGAAATGTATATCAAGAAGAGCAATGTTCTTTACAGCAAGTGTTATTTGTTATTTTTATATTATTATTATTATGTGTGTATGTTGAGATAGTACTCTTCTGAATGGGTTCTGGGTCAGACTTACTTTGCCATTTCTTGCGTTCCGTAGGATGTAGTACCAAGGGCATGTTTTTGTCCTATGTGAGGAACACTATGTCAGATACATTAAAAACAAAACAGTATCCCTCAGGGTATACTTAAAAATAAGATACTAGTTTTGTAAATAGTATGGCAATCTATTTTAAATACACATGTTAAATGTCGTTGTAAGGCATCGGGAATGAGAAAAAGGATTTGGGGAAATCTGCTAAATTGTTACTTGTTTGTTTATTCTGAGTGTACTGGGCATCAAACCCAGGGCCTGGTACATGCTAAGCATGTACTTTACCTTTGGGTTTATCCCCAGAACTTCTTATTTATTTTTGTTGATGTTTATGTATTTATTTATTTTTAATGG